GGTTTTACGCCGCTTTTAGCAATATTCCAGCAATATCACGGCGGGGGACACCAGAAATGGGCTTCACTCATGGTACCCATGTGGGGATTCGAACCTGTGTCTTCGGCGTGACGAGCCAACGCTTTAACCACTAGACTACCCTACCGCCCCGTGTATATGCCAAGTTTATGTATGTTGGGCATGCACATTTATCTTGGACAGATTTTTTTATACCACACTGGGCGATGGTGTAAGCAAATATAACATATACTCTTCACGAAAAGTAGGTGAATTTCATTGTTAACATACGATCGAAGAAAATGGGATATATACATCGGAGTCAATCAATGTTGATAGTGAATGTTTTGACAGTTCATCACTACTTGTACTTCCTTATGACTTTACATGATTGGTGTATGACATGAAATTTGCATGTGTACGATTTTCATTTTCAAACAAAAAAACGGATGCAAGATGATTGTCAAAATGTATGGTTTACAGTGATTTATCGACCTTCAAAATAACAAATGACACCCCATGCACGCGTATGGAGCTAATACGTTGTGCACGTGTATCTCATGCGTTGTGCCCGGGTTCGAATCCCCACATGGGTACAATGTGTGAAGCCCTTTTCTGGTGTCCCCCGCCGTGATGTTGCTGGAATATTGCTAAAAGCGGCGTAAAACCAGACTCAGGCAGTCATGCGTTGTGATAAAGAGAAATGGTGGTGCGTTCATAAGATGTGTCCTTTGTTAACGCTTATACATCCTATGCAAACTGGAAGTTCAGGTTCCCCTATTTTTTAAGACTGCATACTCTCTGTTTGTACTTGTGTAAATGGCGTGAAATTACTTGACAATACTGCTTGGTGTGGGAGATAACCTGATGTGACTATGTTACCATCAATAAATGGTTGGCCGAAAATATAACGCCACGGACATGAAATCACTTTCGATTGAAGGACTGAATGCATGAGTAAAGCTCTGCTGATGACCAGAAATGATGTCGATAGCGAGACAAAATATTAGTATGCCTTGAAGTAAAAGAGATCTTTTTGAGTGCTTAACCATCAATCATGAATGTTCTATGGAGGGATTCGAATCGGTAATACAAATAGAACTGACGAATTGAAAAAAATACCTTCTGAGATGTCAAACAAGAAGGAAGTACAAGGTCTTTATGCCCACACAAAATTTACAATATAAATCCAAACTAAATCTTTGTTCAAACTAAAACATTGTCTTGGTAGAATGCGAATGCTTTTTCACATGTTTAGAAGAAAGAACTGAATATGCCATCAATGGAATTGTCTGATATTTGACAAGGAACTCATAGATAGATAGGTAGGTAGGTAGGTAAGTAGGTAGGTAGGTAGGTAGGTAGGTAGGTAGGTAGGCAGGCAGGCAGGTAGGCAGGCAGGTAGGCAGGTGGGTGGGTGGGTGGGTGGGTGGGTGGGTGGGTGGGCAGGCAGGTGGGCAGGCAGGCAGGCAGGTAGGTAGGTAGGTAGGTAGGTAGGTAGGTAGGTAGGTAGGTAGGTAGGTAGGTAGGTAGGTAGGTAGGTAGGAAGGAAGGAGGTGAGGTTTAGCAGCAGTATGTGCAAAGAAAACCACAAAATACTGAAGCAACACGACTTTCTCTCCTTGCGCGCTATTCGTCAGGCAGAGATCACAGTTACTATATACTATATATAGTTACAATAATCTATATCTGCAATCTGCCCCTGGAGATAAAGTTGAAAATGCGTATGTGGGGCATTCGTGCACACACACACACACACACACACACACACACACACACACAACAACAACACACACACACACACACACAAACACACAAAACACACACACACACACACCGATCATAGTTATATGAATGTGCTCAATTGTATATCCTAAATTGTGTCAACTTTTTCAGTTGTGTTTTACATCTAAAATTGACAGATAAGTTTCGTGTCCTATAACATCGGAGAGGCACGCTGTTCATCATGCCCTTGGTCTCACACCATTTGCATTGTGTACACCGTCTGGACTAGTGATGGCTAGTGCGCCCAACCTCATTTTTGTATGACGTGTGAAACATTAGATACCTCCAAGGTACGATCTTAATGTTGATCATATTTCTTGATAGATATTAAAACGTTTGATTATTTTTTTTTCCGAAGACAATACTCATAAGATGTGTTTGTATTCACAGATAACAATATTCAGAAAATTCATACAAATGCAGGCAGATGTTTCGTCAGTCACATTCACATTAAAAGCTGCTTCAAAAACGATCCGAAATAGGATACACATTCTAAATAGGATACACATTCTAAATTCTGAGATTGGAAAGTTCCGCCCTTTAGGCGTTGCAGAATCCAGATGCATTTGGTTCACGTGTCTCAAATATCTATGTGAATGTAAACAAAGTCCATCCTTGTCTGTGGTCAGTATTATGGTTATCGTCCTTTATATGAATGTTGCATCCTTGAATGCCACATTAAGGTCCTGTTTCACCTTACAAACACCCGACCACTCAACAAATTACTTCCTTAGGTCCTTAGGTGACATCAACATGCTGCAATCATATGATCTGATCTGAAAATAATCGAAAAGTATATGATCTAAGAGATAAAATAATGTATGCATATAATGTCAAACCTAACGCAAAATTGAAATGCTAAAACAACATTCATATTTCGGGGGATTATTTTAATTCACATGGTAGTCGGCAACAGTCGGCAGCAGTCGGCAACAGTCGGCAGCAATCGGCAACAGTCGGCAGCAGTCAAGTAGAAACTTGATGCTGCCTGTGTATGGTCGAGTCTTGCCAAGACTTTGCCAGTCGATCTATTTACACTCTTGCTACAAGATATTAGGAACTTCTTTCAACTCAGAATCCATACAGTTGTCAAATAAATTATGGATCCCATATAACATTGTTTTTAACTTCAAATGCAACACAATGGTATTTAACGGAATTCGTATCTATTCGCATTACAGGTATTCATCTTGACGTCACAGTTACACATGCATAAATTAAATTTGTTTCACCCCAAAACTATGCCCCCGACCTTGACATAACACTGTTATCATCTCAGATAGTAAATGACCTTGTGTATATATATCTACATCAACTGGTGTATAGATGATTTGGTTGTGAGTCGACAACAATTGGAGATGTGCACTAAGACCTTTATATTACTGTCTCTGTTGCTCTGTGCTGGTAAGTACATGTATGTTTTTTCCCCATCAACAATGGATTTACATTGCCATATGAATTTCAGGTTAGAAAGAATAAATCACTACTTGGTTGTAGTTGTGTTCACTTACTTCCAATTGATTGGAATCGTCTTGGGAAAATGTTAATATCGCGTTAGGACCTACCATTTTCTCTTATGTATGTCCAGGCATGTTGTTACTGTGGCATCAAATCAATATATGGCCAATGGTTTAATTAATGTATACACCTGTGCATAAAATAAGCACCACCCTGTATTTTCACCAATTAATTTTGTCTGAAATGAAATTCTAAAAAATAACCTTTATAAATTGATAGAGCAAGCATTTAACATTTCAAAAACGTTATTATGGAAATTACCATGTACTTTAATTAGGATAATTGCCTATATTTTTAAAACAGGTGTTTTTCTGTTCTAAACAAGTTACCTTATTTTGAAAAGTGAAACTTATAACTGATTGTTGTGTGGCCTATAAATTCGTTATTTATTGTGAATGGATGAAAGTTTGTAAACTAAGAATGAATGAGGAAAAGTTACCGTCAAACTAAAAAAAAGGAAAATTTTAAAATGCAATAAAAGTTGCTTTACACACAAAACAAACAGATTTTAACCGTACTTATCAGTATCCGGCAAGGAGAAGTGTTTATTCATTACAATAAACTCAAAATCATAAAAACAATTATTCCAAAATCTTATTAATGTGGCCTTTTTCAGTTTTTGTCAATTAGCAATCTGAATTGTTGGAAAAACAAGGTGTGAATCTTTGACATTCGGGTTCTTTATGATTATGCATAATTAAAGCTTACTTGGCGTGTAAATGTCATCTTGGTATATAACAGAATTGTTATTTTCATCAACATATTCTTTCATAAAGAATAGAAAGGGTTTTGGTATTTGTAAAACTGTCAGTGGGTAAAGCGTCTTTAACTACAGGTTGATTACATTGATGGCTATACCCTTCCTTTTCTGTAGCATCACATCTTATTTTCAAAATAGGGTGGTGCTTAATTAATTCACAGGTGTATAATTTCGTTGTTTGTTGATTTGGAACCAACACTTAACAGCGAACCTCATCATCGAGCAGTACGATTGGAACAATGTGACCACATGATGGTACATGCTGACACCCAAATTTGTATTAATCACAACAAAAGTATTTCCTTGGCAGTGCTAAATAGAGAGGTAATTTAATACAAAAGCAGTGAATATACCAAAAAGAGTATAATATCCAGCTCACTTTAATAATGGAATAATGGTTAAGTTTCCAAATTAGGCTGAGCGTCCACGGTAGGAATGATCTCCATACAAATACTGATCTTTCTGTAATCTGAGATGTGAGGCAAAAGTTAGCTCCCCTAAGAAAAGACTCCGGTTCGTTCCATAATGTTGTCTGTGTCTATGTAGCAATGGACAAATATCCAAAATAGGCCCAAGCTGAATATTATATCCAAGGGAAGTATAGTCACTAAACAATTTATACTTGGTAGCACTTTTAACTCCACACAGTCGCCAGACAAGACCAGGATCCCATATAACATTGTTTTTAAATTCCAATGCAACACAATAATATTTTGTGGAATTGGGATTCACTGGCATTACATGCATTAAACTGGACGACACAGTTGCAATGTGTATGTACACATGTATAAATTCGTCTCATCCCTAGACTATGCACTCGACCTTGACATAACTCTGTTATCATATCAGATGACATTGTTATCAGCTCAGATAGTAAATGACCTTGTGTATATTTAGTTTCATCAACAGGTGCATAAGTCAAATGATTTGGTTGTGAATCGACAACAGTTGAAGATGTGCATTAAAACCTCTTTATTACTACTTCTGTCTCTGTTGTTCTGTGCTGGTAAGTACATGTATGTGTTTTTTACATCAACAATGAATTTTCATCGCCAAAGGTTTGGTGTTCGAAGCTAAATATTAGGAAATGAGTTTCAAAAGCATTTCTTATCAGTTAATATAAAATATGAAGCTTTTATAAAGATAGCTATTTAAATAATAGTTCATGTCAAATTATCACCGTCTTCAGGTAATAATAAACTGGGAACGTGCTGGAGTGCTATGCATATGACCATATTCCCGTAGTTAGAGACTTTTGTGTGGTTCATTTTCTGGACATGATGTTTTAAAATGCATTAAACATGCGATAAACCAATAATTGAAAGAAGGCATTAAAAGCTCTTCACGGGACGCTTACATCCAAGCGTGTTTTCTAACACGAAATTAAGCAGCAGTTGATTGGTGATGCAACTGCCCTTGCTTAACGCTGATACAGACATTATGTTGCGATCCGGCCGATAGTTTATGCACTGACTTAATATGTTTCGATTCACCTAGAAGCATTTACGGTTGATTTGAATCGCATTGTTATTAGCGGTGATCCGATTAATTGAAATAATCGAAGATTGGTCGCAGTGACTAATCGACCAAACAATCGATAATGTTTTCGATGATTGATCTCATCAATTATGAGATTTTAACCAATTCCCAACACTAATTGTTATCATCTCAGATAGTGAATATTGTTGCACAATTAATAACTTCACTACATAACAATGAATAGAGCCACTTGCGTTTTTTGCTTTTCATTTGATCATCTTGAGCTAAAAGGAATTTACGTACTTACCTAGTTTTCAAATCAGCAGTCTCCGAAGGAACGCAGGACTTTGCTGTGAACGTCAACAATGACGGCACCTACAACGTCGTTGTGAAGGGAGATGTGTGGCTGAAGAGCGCTCCTACCTTCTTCAGAGCTGATGGTCAAGTGTTCTCCTCTGCTGATCTATCTCTGAAGCTGGTCAAGATTACTCAGTCCAGTGGTGTGGACGTCATCGGGCAGTGGGAGGCCAACAGCTTCTTGTACCAGGCAGGGTCCAGTCAGATCGAGGCCAGCTTTGTACAGTACACACCAGATCCAAGCATATTCACCTACAACAATCCGGCTGTACCGTTCATATTGTTCAAACAGGTGAGTAAACATAGGATAGTAATAGACTCCACAATCTCTATCCACACTAAGACAAAGCATGACATAGATATGTACCGTTATAATTATAACAAAACGAACAAACGCAGTCCGTCATGCTAACTCCCAATATTCTGATTTGAATTATATTTTGATTTAAGTGCACTTTCTGCTGTGGATAGCACGTAACCATTTTAATGGCTCAACATTTGCGTTGTGCAATGGGCCTGAAAATTATTGTTGTTCATTGTGTTGAGAAGGATAGCACTGAATATTGAGCAATATGATCAAGTTAATTACTGGATGGCTGTACATGTAAAAAAACACAAATAGATTTTACACAAAATCATCCAATCACAGCTATTAGATTATTCTTTCTGCACTGAACTTCTCCCTACAGCGTATTAGAACATTTATGTTCCATTGTGTTCTTGAAGGGATACATAAAGGTTTAGTTTTCAACAGTGACAGTGACGGACTTGTATCAATGTAGCATTAAAAGCTATTATTGTTGTTAGTTGAATGTTCTGCGAATTTTCACGTAGTTCTTTAAGAAACCAAGTCTCCAAATGTACCAGGAAATACACAAGATCTTCATAGTGTCATAACTGACACGTTGTCAGAACACACGCTCTTCTTGTTTTCTTTCATCAATGACGACAACAGCGTTACATCAATGGAGCAAACAACACCGCCTCCAACAAGACTGACTTCACCATTTCTGGCTTTCCTGGATTTCTAATTCAAGATTCATCCATTCCGCTGGGATACCTTAGTTATGGAGGATCTCAGGGTGGTAGCATTGGTCTCAATGTTGGGCAGTAAGTATTTGTATGTGAAAATGATAGCATGTTTTACGTGTTGAACACAAAAAGCTGCAAATATCATCAGACAGAGCCTATGGATAACGTCAGGAACTGAACATGGATGCAAGTCTTTTTGTTCAAAATGCTTTTACCCTAGTCCATTCTTGACAATATACACTCCCAATGATCTGATTCCGGATCCACCTCCCAAATATCAAGTGAACCATCTCCGATAAATATATTACTAGCGGCGTGTTATGAAATATCATTTTTATTAGTATTTTTCAATAGGATTCAACTATTTAATACTTTTCTTTAAGATGGGGACCATCATCGTTTGAAATCGACGATGGGATTGAAGGTGGACCCCTGACGTTATTTGATCGCGTTAAGACTGCAAATACACTGATTATCTCCCCTGCCAGTCGATTTATGTCGTCATCAATATGGCGTCAGAGGTCCAGCACCGGCGGGGACAATGTCTATTGGGGGACGATGGGAGGAGTTGAAGATGTCCCTGTTGGCGTTGAAACTAGTTTTATTCTTTTCTGTGGTAACCAAGGCATTAACAAGGTATCTCTCATCCTCCTTAACATGCCTGTAAACAAAGTTATTTGTATGGCATTTATTAACTATTTTAGACTTGAATTATATTTTTATTTTATTTTTTTTACTTTTAAACCTTTGAGACCGTAACTCTCCTTAACCTTCAACACGTTCATGACAATAAACAAATTTTAATGTACATTTTCTAAGGAAACCTGTGATTATCGTTGCAGGCCTCTGTAAGCTGGGGTCAGATCTTACAGCGGTGGCATGGCCGTACAGATCAATATATGAAGTCCGACTTTACCATAAACTACTTAGGGTACTGGACGGACAATGGTGAGCATATTTCGAGATGCCTTGATTTGATTTCAGAGAACCATTATGGTCAAATCGTATTTTCCACATTGTACAACACACTGTTTCAACCAAACCAATTTACAAGGCATCCTTTAAAAAGATAATTTAAATGTTACTTTATTTCACAGACATGCATGCGACTAATTTGAAGGCGTTTACAAGAATGACAACTATACCATATTGCTGTGCACTTTGTTCTGTGAACCACGGTGTTAAACCACGCTGAATACGCTGTTTGTTCAGGTGCGTATTACTACTACCGGACGGAGAAAGGAAAGAACCACCAGGACACAATGTTGGATATCAAGAGCTACATGGGGCAGATAGGGGTACCCGTCAGGTTCGTGGACGTACTCGTGCTTTACAGTAAATATGCTATATAAGAATTTGATGATTGTGTTTCAGGCACCAGAGAGGGTTTATGTCATTCAGTGACACTTTTTCCACTATTCAAGAAAGTTTATTTCCAGTATGTCCCAAAAACCTAGAGATGTTAATTGTTTTTTTAAAATCTGTAAATAAAACATTTGAAACGTTCTTTTATTTCATTCCGACAATTTTATTACAGAGACCCGTGTGCATGTGTGTGCATGTGTGTGCGTGTGCGTGTGCGTGTGTGCGTGTGCGTGTGTGTGTGTGTGTGTGTGTGTGTGTGTGTGTGTGTGTGTGTAACTGTTTACAAAATGATGATGCTGGTAATTTCTTAGTGACTGATAGGGATAGAAACTGAGACAAGCATCATGTTGTTTACCTGTCAAAGTGTTGTGTGTTTTTAATTACTTGGTGGCGTACTTGCTTAATACATTCACTATGGTCAGGTAATTCGGTTCGACGAATCATGGTACTACTGGGGCAATGATCTTGATATTTATTGTCAGGTACATTCAGTATGACGCATGGTGGTACTACTGGGACAATGATCATGGTGTTGTGACGTGGTCGGCGCAGCCCAAAATCTTTCCAAATGGAATGCAGTAAGACATTTTCCCTTCTTCAACTGAGTTAATATTAAAATCTACTAAATTATATGAATGCTATTTAATATTCGTTCCACAATATACTTGCAAATGTCATTCATATGAGTGAGTGAATTAGTTTGGTTTTACGCCGCTTTTAGCAATATTCCAGCAATATCACGGCAGGGGACACCAGAAATGGGCTTCACACATTGTACCCATGTGGGGAATCGAACCCGAGCCTTTGGTGTGACGAGCGAACACTACCCCACTGCCCCTCATGTGAGTCAAAGCAAACGTTGTTGAAAATATGTATACCTTTACATTGTTACATATAAACTGTAATGACAATATGTACACCTTTACATTGTTACATATAAACTGTAATGATAATATGTACAACTTTACATTGTTACATATAAACTGTAATGACAATATGTATACCTTTACATTGTTACATATAAACTGTACACCTTTAATGACAATATGTACACCTTTACATTGTTACATATAAACTGTAATGACAATATGTACACCTTTACATTGTTACATATAAACTGTAATGACAATATGTACACCTTTACATTGTTACATATAAACTGTAATGACAATATGTACACCTTTACATTGTTACATATAAACTGTAATGACAATATGTATACCTTTACATTGTTACATATAAACTGTAATGACAATATGTACACCTTTACATTGTTACATATAACTGTGACAATATGTACAATATGTATACCTTTACATTGTTACATATAAACTGTAATGACAATATGTATACCTTTACATTGTTACATATAAACTGTAATGACAATATGTACATTACATTTACATATAAACTGTAATGACAATATGTATACCTTTGGAACCACAAAGTACCACATTTTCCCAAATGACACTTTGAGTTAGTTTGGTGAAACTGATACATTTCCTTCTTGTTTTTTTTCATCCTGTGATAAAGGTGGCTTTATAACAAGACACAGTATCCTGTCGTGGCCCACAGCATGTACTGGTAAGCCGGGTCCAGGAATCTGACAACTTAGTATTCTGAATTTCGATGCCTGTCGGAAGCAGTTACATTGGTAGCAGTTAGGTTTAGATATTACGTTGTAATCATGATGTACTGCATTGTCACAATGTCACTGAGTTTGCGGTCAAACGCTAATGCAATATGTATTCACGTTCCTCATATCTGATAAGAGTTTTAACAGAACAGAAAAATACCTGTAAGATAATCCAATAAATTTTCACCCATCTATATAGGGTGCTTCTAATTGTTGAGATGCATAAAAAGTGCGCAGAAAACAGTGTCATAAAATCTTGGTTGTTCATTATTCAAGGTCCAGCAACACAACCTACGCAACTGCAAATGGAGGAAAGTATGAATTCGTCATCGATGGTCCAAAGGCATTGCCACTGGAAGAGGTACTGTTGCTGTTGTTTGGGATGTAAATGTTATGAAAACAAACTTCTTCTTCTCCTTCACCTAAGCATCGTTTGCTTCGAGATTTCGGCATCTTTCATGTTTCATCAAGTAACTGACGAACCTTTAGGCATGTGTAAACATTCAGATATGTTTCTCATCACGTTTCAGAGATTCTGGACTGATTTGCTCGCCGATGCAAGAAAATGGGGTCTGTTTGTTTACGAACAGGTAAGAATTCCTTTCACCAAACGCACAACTTCAGATACATCATTCTGCAGTGTATACCTATTTTAGATTTAATCTGACGGGTTTCTTTTATTTCTGTAGGATTATCTCGGTACTGAATTTGAAGGGATCAATAAGCTTCTGACTGACATTGACCTTGGCCGCCAATGGTTGACTCAGATGGGCAATGGAGCTGCCAAGAACGGACTGACCATCCAGTACTGCATGTCATTCCCACGACATATGCTACAGTCTCTGGAAATACCTGTCGTCACACAGGTGAGAGCAACTATTGCATGATATGGTTATTATTAGTGAGTGTGGGTATACACTTATTTTGATACATTTGTATGATAGTGATACCCTATGTTGAGAGAGAAACACGAGTATTTGCTTAACATTGCAGTCAACATCGACCTGGAAACTTTACAAGTTATTTGATATATGTTTTAGTCTCGGGTAAGCCATGACAACCGACCGAACACTGACAACTGGAAGATAGGCGTGTCATCGATATTTGCTTTGTCTCTGGCATTGCTCCCTACAAGGATAACTTTTGGACAACCAGCGTTCAACCCGGAAATGGCTACAGTATGTACAAAATTAGTTCTGAATCAAAATGACATTACTTTCCAATTGGAATAAAACCTTTGAGAAAGTAATGTTATGTTGATTTCATTCCAACGTTCTTAAGAAACCTTCCTAATCTGGTGAAGTGTGTCATATTCATGTCATGTCATAACTACATTCGTAGAGGCAGAACGTTTATATGTATTGAATGTGTTGCAGATTTATCGGAACCCCACACATCACTGAATGCTGTGGTTGCAACCTTAAGCACAGGCCCAGTGGGGATTAGTGACATGATTGGAGGCACGAACAAGACACTCATCATGAAGTAGGTTGGCCGTTAATGGGTAACTTCAAACTTGTGGTTCATTATCCTGCAGGACCATATATGTTTTCGCACTGAAATATGCACTTATCATTTACTACACATGTAACTGTTATTCATTTCTCATGCAATCATTGTTAATTCCATTATTCCCTATCATATATCTATATCTTCCCCGTATTAATTACTGATCTCTCCTGTGCAGATTACTTTTGCTACCTGTATTGTTTAATGTCTATATGTTCTGCATTTCTCATTCATTGCTGCTGTTTCTATATATATATTTTATTATCTATTACTGTAAGTCTTATTTTGTTCTCCTGTATGATCGAATACCCATGTATGTGTTCTTTATTACTTGTGGATTTGGTTTACACGAATTCCGTATTTATCATGTATTATCCCTGCTACTTGGTCCGTCTACATTTCATCACGGTCACTTCAACTCTTCCACAGATCTGTAAATGCTGACGGCCTGATCTTGAAACCATCTCGACCTGCGACTGCAATTGACAACAGAATACGGAGGGTAATTTTGCTCTTTTCCTATTGCCCCTGGGTTTGCACATTTGATTGTCATGAGAAGAGCTTTAAGTCTTATCGTTCAAGAGGAAGAATAAAAGACTTAAAAGGAGAAATATTTAGGTTTTAAGGAACTTAATAGGGATTGTGTGTGTAAATTTGTTTTCAATTGATCCCTAGCACCAAAACCCGGTACATTCCCCTTGCCCCTCAAATGACTCGATGATTATATTGGTGCTACCCAGATCGGACTGTCTGCGAGCACATAGCACAGAACTATAAGTTTATAAAAACAGAGCACCTGGCATATGCAAATGAGTCACGACACAAAAGGGGTTTCACAAGCAAGTTAACACGGTGTGTCCACCTTGTGCATTGGTGCAGGCCAGGCACCGTCACAGTCACCGTCGCCGACACTGAAGATCATTTCACATTCGAGTCCATGCAGCGTTTTGGCGCTGTTAGAGGATTCGGACGACGTCGTAATTGTCGCTCCTTTCTGTCCCTTATGTTCTATGGGCGCTCGGATCTTTTGCCAGGAAAACTTATGCTCTATGAGGTGTGCAAATGATAATCACTCCATCGGATGGCGTCCTTGCGGCATCAGGATAATCCAGAACATTTGCCTTGTGAAATTGTTCTGACAAGGAGAAAACGTTACTGATCGGTAAAGAGGCCTCTATTCCACTCACTTGCACAATGGAGATGGTTCTGATGTTCGTCTGAATAGTACTCATAGATTCCCATCTGTCATTTCCCCAACGATGGGAATGTCAAATTTGTTCCAGGACGATGGAAACAGATTATTGTATTCTGATTTCTGCACTTCTTAGGACAGGCAGTGAGTTGATGTGATAAGCCTCTGGTTTTCTGTCTTCTTCAAATGAACACGTGTGGCCATTTCTCGATTAGGTTATGTTTCTTTCTAATTTAAATAGCAACTGTGTGGTTGCGTTTCTTTCGGTTTTAACACATAGTTTCTCCGGAAAAGAATTCATTCACAAAATTCACAATGAGTAATTAAAATCTCATTTTACAATAACTGTTGTCGGTGATAATGCCTTGAAAGAGCAGAACGTTCCTTATGATGCATGTCTTCTAGATGGCCTGGTCAGACTTTGATGGTCCTGATGGGGAGGTATGGTCCACGTATTCAGATTTTGGTGGAGATAACAAGTACGGTATCATCCTCGCTGCAGATCTACAGGAAGCTACACTATGACACCCTGCATGTCTGGATATCAAGGGGTAGGATATTATAGTCTTTCTCCTTTAATTGATTTCAAGATATGTTCAATGTTTCAAAAATATATCTGTAAATATAATCAGGTATGCAAATAAAATTCACTTTAATGTTTCCAGTTTCCGAACTCCATGGTTTTCCCTGCGAATAATCCCAACAAGATCCAGCCCTTGACAGACCCCCAGCCTTTGACAATGAGTGGCTGTACCATGACTGACTTCTGTCTTTCTATGTATCACCAGTACTGACCGTCAATGGGTAGGTTTATTCCTTCATTTCAATCATAATGTAACAAGCGTGTGGAAGATATCCCAAACGTTATTAACCAGTGAAAATATTTACTTTTGGGGAAATGGGACTTAAAGTGATTGAAGATAACTTTAATTGCTCTCTGATGTTTGTTTGTTGCGCTCAGCAATGTTCCATCTATATGACTGCAGTTTGTAAATTATTGAGACGGGACCAGACAATCCAGTGGTCAGCATTTAAAGCATCACTCTACGCAATTGGGATGCGATGACACGGGTCAACCAAGTCAGCGAACTTGACCGTTAGTTGCCTCTTACGACGACCATGGGTTGCTGAAGATCAATTCATATGTTTCCTGAATGTCTTAAAAATCTAAACAGCTATGTAATTGTTTTATTACAGCAAACAAGTTCTCATCCAGGGTGAGTTAGACAAGTGGGTGCCGA